CTATCTTACCGGGATCTGTGGATTAACGAAACCTCACCACCACATGATCGTGACGTTGACGTTGCTTCTCTCTCTCTCTCTCTCTCTCTCTCTCTCTCTCTCTCTATCAGTAGCAAATTCGATATGTTCCTATGTTCCCAATAAACACCAAAAAAATATTTATCCAACCTTGGAGAAATTCATAGTTCTCAAGTTGATAACCAACATCATTCTCCAACTCATATCTAACCGACGCGCAGATACGTAAAAAGTGATAGGGAAACAAAACTTTTAATTATCAAGTGAAAAACGAAAGCTACACTCTAAAAAGTGCATATAAAACTACTACAGAAAAGTGTTTATCTTTCAACCAGAACCTGTTCAAGTATACGCACAAGATGTTCAAGATTTGATTTTTAACATGAGTTGTTTAAAATATACACATAAATATACACATGAAATGTTTAAAATCACAAACATTTTGAAAGTAAAAATATATTTTTTACAAATAATAAATACTAAGTGCCAGGGGTGCACCCAGGAATATATTTTGGGGGGAAAGGGTTTATACTTCTATATATATATCATCAGAAAATACTGAAAATTCGCTCTTTAAAATACATTTATGCAAGTTTTATGTACAGTATGAAATAAATAAATAAAGTTTTTAAAGTTTCATAAATTGCATTTTATTGACATGAAATTTACAAAGAACTCAACCATTTTCAACCGGCTTCAAAAAAGGGGAGGTTTATGAGTATTTTTTCTTCTTTTATGTATTCCACCGCATAACTTTGGATCGCGTAAACCGATTCCAATAATTCGTTTTTCTTACCGGAAAGATGATACCTTAAGCGTCGTCCCATAATTTAGTTTAGATCCGATCATTAAATCATGAAAAAATTAACGGTACTGCTAAATTTGTATACGAGAATTGAAGTGGGTTTTGTTTTTTGCTTAAAAATCTTGTTTAATAAAAGGTTCTACAAACACAAGATGCACTCAACTTTCAAAAGTAATACAAAATTTTACAAAAGAATTTTAATATAAACTAGCAGACCCGACGAACTTCGTCCCGCCCAAAATTGAATTTTTTATTGAAATATTTGGTCCAACGTTTTCGTCAGCAATTCACGTTCACGTTTGGTTTTGTGGTCGACAGAAGGCATATCCTCCATTGCTGTTTATTCACCGTAAAGCAAGGACCGCAATGGTTCTGTTGGTTGATTTAACGGAAGTAATTTGACTTTGATCCCTGGTGCCTCCGAATCGACGATTTTTAGCAATAACTCGGTTCCAGCGCCACTAAAAATTATCATTAAAATCGTTTGGGTCGTTTAGGAGGAGTTAAGCCACCAGAATAAGTCTTTTACATACTGACACTCTTCGGCATTTTTTCCCATACAAAAACTCTCACGCATTCGTTATACGGAGAAAATGCGCAACATCATCTGCGAAAAAAATTCTCAAAAATCAACGGAATCTAATAGCCATTAAAACTTGCACCTCACGATACTGAAATTGAGTGAACTAAAAAACTGCTTACTCAAAATTTGGTACCATTTGATGCAAAATGAACTATATTTCTAGAAAGAATTAACAAACAAAGTTTATTATGAAAAAGAAAAAAACACTGTATTCTGGGTGTATATATTCACAGATAGGTAAAAGTTTCAATATGTTTCGAAAGCACCGCGTTCCTTTTACAGTAGCCCAAAACTCTCTATGCCAATTTCCTGGACATTACCACAAATACTTTCAGAGATATACGGTATGAAAAATTCGATATGTGTGGGTGATGCCACGCTCCCTTAATATATTCAAAGTCTGCAGTAGGTGTCCAAAATTTCAAAAAATCGGTACAGCCGTTCGCGAGATCACCTCTTATAAAAAGAAGGAGCTTCTCTTTATATAATTAGTGTAGGTAACACAGGGCAACACCGATTTTGATGCGGCACATGTTGAAGATAGTTTTAATAGGCTTTTTTGCTGATTAAGAATACGTAAGTATAAAGCTTCCATCAGCTCCAGATTTTGTGAAAAATGTGGTGAGAGTGTCAAAAAATCGCGCTTTTTGCAATATTTGAGAAGCTCTAGCAATGAAACAAAAGGGTATAGAACCACCCACTTAGGCCTAAATTAAGGCCTTGACTTCTGACTTTAATCCCTGAAAATACCATTCCTGCACCTTGACCCTAAGGTCACCTATAGTCATTTAACAGCTAACACTAATTTTTACACCGTTTTTGACGATAAAAAGTAAATAAGTATAGGTGGCCATTAGGGCAAGGTGCAGGAACAGTACTTTAAGGGATGGTAGCCTGTAGTTGTAGCTATAATTTAAGCCTACGTGGAAGGTTCTATCACATTTTGCTTAATTGCGGTAGGAACTCAAACTTCCCGAAATCAGATATTCCGGTTCAACAAATAACTATAAGGGCTAGTTTCTCCAACTCAACTTAACTTACTTAAGCCAATTTTCCGGACTTAGTCAAGAATAAGCTGTGTAAAACGTAGGCTAACTTTTGACATAAGGCCAAAAAGTGGCTAAGTTAAGTTAAGTTGAGTTGGAGAAACCAGCCTTAAGTGATCATCAAGCAAAGGCGCGGGAACTTGCTTTAATCAAAGCCTAAGTGGAAGGCTCTACCACCCTTCTCTCTAGCTTCTCAAATATTGCAGAAAACGCGATTTCTGAAGATCTGGAGCTCATGGTAACTTTTTGCTTACGGAGTCGTAATCAGCACAAAAAACAATCTGTCAAAAATAGCGTTAACATTTGCTGCATCAAATTTTTTTCCATTTTTGTTGGCCTGTGTAATAAGTATTGTTAAATAGCCAATACCCGCATGGTTGCAGTGCCTTCAAATACCTTTGGAAATGTAAAGGAATGACTCGATCCTATTCTACGGATATCTTTAATACGGGTATCGAATTTCAAGCAAATCGGACCATGAATAAAATATTTTTGAATTGATCGGTATCTGGTCCACCTATCAGAAAAAATATCCTACAACTTAACCCAGCCAATAAGCTACCTACGTCCTTAATTTCAAGCAAATCGGACCATAAAAAAAACTGTTTAGAATAGTTCGGTCTCTGACCCACTTAACGGAAAAAATGAATCCTATACGCCAATCTAGGCAAAAGGCAATCAACGAACCAACTGCATTTTTTTTAAGCGTAGCTCGACCCCTGCGCCAACTATCGGAAAAATTAAAACTTTATGCACTCCTTCTAAACACCTTTCCAAAAAAGCAGCACCCATTCGAATCGGTTATGAAACATAGGAGAAAATTGTTTCCAATTGATTCAAGCTCCCAATGAATTTCACACTTATCCGAAATTTTCCAAGCTTTCTTAGAAAAAATTCACATTTCTCGCGTTCTTCCGCATTTTTCCTAGTTTTCCACTAAGAATTTTATATTTTTCCATTCGCATGCCATTCCGAAAGAATTGCAGACAAAATTCCATTAAAAAAGATCAATTTTCAATTTTTCCAAT